GTGTACTCTAGAACCCATATAGGACCGTAGCAGAACGCCTGTAGAGCCCTTACAGAACGCTGCATCTCAAGACAAAAAGCGGATCCTAGTTTCCTGAGCCCTAAACCCTCAAACCCTTAAACGGTTTAGGGTTTAGGGTTTAGGGTTAACCCTTTAAAGCCCTCAGGCCTTTAAGCGCGTAAGCCCTCAACGCCCTCGGACCCTTGAACCCTTACACCCTAAAGCCCTTAAGCAAAAGATCCTCAAATCGCCCAACATCCTCAAAAAGCCCAACACCTTTAAATGTTTAAACCTTTCACGCCTTAGACGCTAGACGTTCGACCAACTCCTTTCTACATGAGGCCGCCAGGAGCTCGCCGGCCAGTGAGGTTCGTCCGATCTCAACGAACAGCTCAGGGTTTCGGTCTTCGGTTCAGGGTTCAGAGGCTAGGGTTCAGGCTTTAGTTTTTTCTTTTTAAATCTGGTTTCTATGAGGGTGCCATAAGCGTATGTGCTTTGGGTTCTTTTGGGGCTCAGGTCTTTCAGGTCAGGATCTACAGGACCTGGACCCCTTTTGCTGCCGAACATTCTAGGCACTCTGCAGTCAACTGAAACCTGTCCCAGAAGCCACACTTTAGGGTTTGGGGTTTAGGGAAGCCACACTCCAAGAAGTCAACTCCACCACAGCCCTACGCCCCAATCCCTGAGACGCGAAACCCTCGTTCTGAGGTACTCCATGCGCGGAGAACTGAAGCCCCAAGCCCTAACGGTTTAGGGTTTAGGGTTGAGGGGAGTACATGGTCCTGTATTCCCCTTTTCGTCCCCATTGCAGTCATGCCCGCAATATACCCAAAAGCCTATGACGCCCCTTGTTTTCAACCCTACAAAACCCCATGGAAAACCCTATATTCAACCCTACAAAACCCTATGAAGCCCCTATATGCGACCCTACAAACCCCATGGAAAACCCTGTGAAACCGTTGTGAACAACTTCAGCCGCACAGGCGAGAGAACTGGCTGGATCAGATGCAGGCGCCTTGTAAAGTGTAGGCAGGGTTTAGGGTTTAGGGTTCAGGGTTTAGGGTTCAGGGTTCAGGGTCTAGGGTTTAGGGTTCAGGGTTTAGTGTAGATGCCAGCCAACCCCAAACCCTAAACCTTACACCCTAAGCCGCAAGTCCTAAACCTAGAATCTGCACCCTCAGCCCTATAAAGCCTAAACCTGGAAAATACACCCTACGCCCTCCGCTACACCCTAAACCCTAAATCCTACCCTAAACCCTACACCCTGGTAGACCCCTGTCCCGACGCGCCCTTATGCACCAGAGCCATAAATCGCAAACACCTAGTCAGCAGAGACGCAGACCCAAGCAGCAATTTGCTGCTTAAATCCTGAACCCCTACCCAGGGTTTAGTTTGAGATTTAGGGCTTAAGGTTGAGGGTTTAGGATTTAGGGATTAGGGTAAACCAGACCCTGTGATAAGAAAAAGCGTCGGACCCTGCAAGAAAGAACTATCCTCAGTCGAAGCACTTAACAGTACCTAACCTTCTCAAACTGAGACTGTCTATGTAGTTTAGGTGTTTAGGGGTTTAGGGTTTAGGGTTTACTATGAATATTATGGTTTAGGGTATATACCTGAATTACAGACCCCAAGCGCTTAGAAAATTCTCAACAAAACGTCGAACAGGATGTCTTTAAGGAGCCGAAAGACCTTACATAATCAACCCCGAAACCCCTAAACCCTCAACTTTTGGTGCTTGAGCTTTAGTTTAGGGTTCCTTGCGCGAGTTTAGTAACAGATAGGCTTAGAAGCTTGAAAAAATGTTTATCTATTATGAGGCTTGACAGATAACAGGGACTGCTATAGTTCAGGGTGCCTTCAACCCAGAACTCCCGACACCCCAAACCTACCAACGAAGACTGATCCGGAAATAATGTAAGTCTTAGAGCTTAAACCCAGCATTTTGTAGAAACATTACGTAGCCATTGTTCTGTGGCTGGAAATGGATAGTGGTCTGCAGACAGAAGCACAAGCCAACGGCCAACGGCACCGGCGAACCTTAACATCGGCAACGCAGCTGCGAATCGCTTCCGGGACACAGCGATGCAGGTGTAGCTACGCGAAGACACGGCCGGCGAGTGATTGCCGAAACCGCACAGAAGTCGCCCCTCGCCGGCAGATGCTGAAGCAGCTGGAACACAGTCTTCTTCCGAAGGGAGCTCCCGCCTCGTCCGCTCAGGATTCCGGTGGCTAGACCCAGTGTCAACCCTCAACCCTAAACCCCTAAACCCTCAGCTCTAAACCCTAAACTGCCCTAAACCCTCAACCCTCAGCTCTAAACCCCTAAGCCCTCAACCCTCGACCCCTAAACCCCTAAACACTCAACCCCAAACCCCCCAAAACCCTCAACCCCTAAACCCTAAACCTTAAACCCTAAACTCCTACACCCTAAGCCCTCAACCCCAAAACCCCTAAACCCCTACACCCTAAACCCTCAACCCCCAAAACTCTCAACCCTAAACCCCTAAGCCCCTAAACCCTCAACCTAAACCCCCTAAACCCTAAACTCAACCCTCTAAACCCTCAACCTAAACCCCCTAAACCCCTAAACCCTAAACTCAACCCTAAACCCCTAAACCCTAAACTCAACCCTCTAAACCCTAAACCCTCAACCCCCTAAACCCTAGGGAGGCTTTGGACCCTTGAAAGCGCAGGATGCCATCATCGACCTGCTGACTTGCCGTCCTCCGACTCCAACCTTTGGGGAGTCTCCGGTTTTGGGAGAGGTTTAGGGTTTAGGGTTCAGGGTTTTTGGTTAAGGGTTTAGGGTTTAGGTTTTTTTTGGGGGTTGGGATTTAGGGTTTAGGGTTTTTTTTGCTAGGGGTCTCGGGCTCAGGATTTGAGGTGTCTCTTCAAGAGGATTCAGAGGTTGTTATCGGGGCTTTCGGGGTCGTCGGGTTTTACAGGTTTTTGCAAAGCTATACGGGCTTCAGTCGGATATTGGGGGTCGCCCGACATGCAACAGGATCCTCAGTGACAGGACCCTCTTGCAAGTGGCAGGTCTTCTAAGCTAAACCCTAAACCCTAAACCCTAAACCCTAAACCCTAAACCCTAAACGCTAAACCCTAAACCGTGCAGCTGATTCTGTCTCTGAAGACTCTGGGTGTTGTTGTCATTCACGACCCCTGATTCATACACCCCCCCAAATAAAAGCGGATCGTGCTAGGGATCCTCGACCCTAACCCTCAATCGTATACCCTAAACCCTGCCTGTAACCGAAAAGACCTACCTTTTCGGGTTCCGTCTTTTGGTTTCTATATATAGTTTCTGAAAAAGGTAGGTCTTTTCGGCTACAGGTATACCCAAAACCCCGAAACCCAAGACCCTTAACCACCGGGGGCTCTAATTTGTCAGGGGTCTGCATTAATGCTCGATTCAGGGCTAGGGTCCCGAAGAGCTTGTTTTTTTTTTCCGGGTGATCATAATAGCTGATATTGGCAGTATTGCTGGTTTACATGAGGATGATTATTGTTCTTCTTGTTCGTCTTCTAGTCAGTCTTATTGTCCATCTTTATACTCATATCCATATTCATAGTATGCTCCATGTTTGTCTTGCAAGTATAACTACTAATGTGATTTGTCTTTGTTGTTATCACAAAGGGATATCCACCTTCACCACAAGTTTGGGCATGCTGTCATCTGTCTGGTCATCATTGTTGAAACATCAGTCTCATTATTGCTGGTGTCACGTTTTTGCTAGAACTCATCTCATTGTCAAGGGTTATGGTTGCGTTTGTGTTGTAAGGGGTGTAGGGGAAGAAATACTAAAATGGGGCTACTGAGGATTAACAAGCAAGCTTTGCTAGGCTTAGCTAGCTTGTTGAATTCTAGCACACCTTTTTCACTATTTCTCGCCATCCACCTTAACCACTTTTCAGAAGGGGCTTGTAAGGGTAAAATAATGCAATTTTACCAGCGGTTTCAGCAGTTTTTCCATCAATTCATCCACCTTCAGACATTTTTCACACTCAATCCCTAGAATTCTTCCCAACATACCTACCAATGCTGGCCTTTACCTTCCGCAACACGGACGGCTCCAGCGACATGCTCTGCGGCTCGCCGGAGCCCTCGTGCTTCATTGAAAAAATCCAGCTCTTCGCCAACGGCCAGCGGGTCGAAGAAATTTCGTATTATGGGCGGAGCTGCTTCATGTACAGTCTTCTCAAGCGCGAGGAAGGGCCGCCAGTGGGAGGGCCTCCCCGTGGACGCCAGCGGCTGGGCCCTGCCCGCCCAGCCCGGGCAGAAGCGGGACATGCTCATGGCGCCACATTTGATCGATATGTTCGCCGCGGGCAAGATGCTCCCGCCGCAGCTCAATCTGGTCGAACTGTTTCGTGTTATTTCGTCACAGGCAAGAACGTTGCGAGGCACGGCACGCGATCTCGTCACGGCAGCTGAGGCACATGTCATGTTGCAAAGACTAGTAGTTGGCGTTTCGTTGGGTGCAACTGGCCGCAGTCGTTGGAAAGCCATGATATCAAGAAGCCGGTGCCCAAAGTCTGGAATCGCACATCGTTGGTTCACAGTACTTTAAATCTTTAACCATACCATTAGAGAACAAAGTAGCGACCGACATCCTCCACGACAAGTTCTTCTTGGTGCGCCTTCCTCGCTTGCGGTTTCAGCGTGTGCCTTTGTTGAAGTGAGACAAGCTTGAGCCACAATTCGTGTTCAGAGCTTTCCCTGCGATTTCGTTTGTAGTCATTCTTCAAGATGGCACCCAAGAGTATGACCGGTGAGGGCTATGTTGTTGAGGATGGGGCAGACAACGCTGTCGTTCCAAGTGATGCCCGAGAGCGTGTCTTCGGATGTGCGAGCCAGGTGTCAAAGGCTACTAACAGCCTTCGCCGTGATGATGCGGATGAATAGCGCTCGCCCCAACCAGAGGGTGGTTCAGGTGCTTCTTCACGACTGTTCCAGGCAAGTTGGTGCTGAGCGATGAAGAGCTTAAGGAGCGCGTCAGTTGCTTCAAGACAAGGATGCTGAAGAGTTGGTCACCAAATCGTGAGGTGTTCCTACTACCAAGCCAAGTGCTCCGATGTTGAACAGGCCTTCAACGCTGTTCGCAAGGAGTTGAAGAAGAAGGCTAACAAGGACAAGAAGACAGCTGACAACGCCGCTGCAAAATTCAATGGGAAGTCGTTCTCAGTCAAAGTCCCTTCAAGGCTACGCTTACGACCTTGCGGTCGATTCTCATCGTCAATTTCAAGAAGGACTTTCCATCGGAGAAGCAGTTGAAGAAGATGAGCTTCAATTACACGGACAAGATTATGAAAATTATGAGTGACAATGCTCGTCGTGAGTGCGGTTCCAAAGAGAAGGGCACGGGCTGGGGCATCAAGGAGGCGACATCATCCAAGTCTCGGTTCTCGGACAGGGCGGTGGTGCGAGGGGTTTCAACATCAAGAAGCTCATCGGGAAAACCACAGGCACGAGGGAGATGAAGGAAGATGACCAGGAGTTCTTCAACTCTGTTTTCAAGGATGTCAAGCAAGTCTTGGGTAGTGAGCAAGTGAATTTCAAGGCGTGGTAGAGTGCTACAAACAGAGGACGTTGATTGAGACCCTCACCAAGTTGCTTGCCTACTTCACCCACGACCGCTCCCACCTTGACAACAAGTTGTACCGGGCAGGTGAGTTCACGGATGTGTTGACGCGGTTTGACAAGCTGGCTACGATGCTTGATGACACAAATCCGCACATGAAGCAGTTGGTGTTCGCCTCCATCGTGAAGTCCAGCGGACAGGTCAAAACCGCAGACATTCAGAAGGATGTTGAGGTTCACATCGACGTGCTTCCCTGGTGATGCGACGATGTGATGTTTCAGTCGTGCCGAATTTTTGCCATGACGATTACTTCAGGATCATATGGTCTCGTCTCGTAGTGTCGGGGTTTCTCCTCACATGACGAGTCATGATATCATCATGATAGAATGGTCATAGTAAACGTTCTTTCGCTCACGGGCATCACCCAGAGATGAAGCTTGCCTTATCCTCTACTTTGCTCCCTTACCACAGGACACACGAACCGGTCAATGCGAAGTGACGGATTGGAAAGAAGCGCTGCCATTTCACGTATCTTACTACTTGATGTTGTTGGCTTTGATGAATTTGGTTTAGATAACTATGATAAACTTTCTGAATATTAGCCATAATGATAATCCAGATAAAGGAGCACGAACGGATTTTATTTTAGCTTCTTCTTCAAGTCCTGTTTGTGAAAGTATGAGAACACCTGATGAAGCAGCTAAAGGCGAAGTAGGTTATGAGTCTAGCATAAGAAGCATTGAAACGTCTGCTGAAAAGGGAAAAGCAAAGCAAAACGAACAATCTTAAAGTCTTAAAGAAAAGAATGTTTGATACTGCTTTGCCGATGAATGTTATGAAACCTTATGAGGCCTCATCATCCTCATCAAGTTATCAAGTTCTAGGCGAAGTTCTGAAACACATGCCTTGTTGCCAGTTGAAGAAGGAGCATTGAGTGGTCCAATCTAGTCCCCTGAAGCAGTTAACGGTTCAACGCCTTCCGATGCTACGGCTGAATACTTACAAAGTTCTTCGCCCGTTAGCCAGCTCAGAAAGGACCGTCGAACACATAAGGTCTAGGGGTTCTTCAGGAAGACGTAAATAAAAGACGTATTTCTATCAAATGACTTTATCATCCTTTTTGGTCGAAGGGGCATGCCTTCAGCATCAAGGATCTCTCCACACGCCAAGGGACACTGTTCGAGTATTTGCAGCCGCAAGGGCATCAGCCGAATGTGCTTTTGCCCTTAGTCTCGCTGCCGGTGCTGTGCGTGTGTGCGTGTTTGTTCGACCATCCCGCCCCCCTATGCCCCGTCTCTGAGCCAGTGTCCCCAGCTTAGTACTTCGGTGAGGGATCATCGAGGGAAGAGCTTTGTTCCTGCGAAGTGGGCTGTCTTGCCAAGTGTCCAATTCCAACCCAAGCCGCCCGGCTTGGCATGGAGGTTCGGGTGGCACATCCTTCCCCAAATCCCAGGCTCGGATTGCAGGGCCCGGAGCGTTGAACTCTGCACCGGAGCCCTGATGACGCATGCGGAGGGGCAAAGAAAGCGAGAGGGACCGTTTCCGTAGGCCGGAGAGCACCCCAGGTCGACACTCACTCATTCAAATGACTTTATCGTAATAGAAAATCAAGGGAAAGAATTATTTATATTCAATAAATAAGATAATATGAGTTTTTCTTCTTTCGGAAAATGAGAGAATATGTACTGATGAAGATTGGTTTGATGCAGTGTGGAACTCGATTGAATCAAGCGTAGAAATACAAAACCAAAGGAAGCTGTTGAAGAAAGCCCATAATGACCGTTTAAATGCTGAATATAGAGAAGAAGGCTATGTTAAGAATTATTTTACAACAACAGTCACGAATATGAATGTGAAAGATGCGGTAGTATGCTATCAACAACCACAATAAGTAAGAATTACAACGGCTTGAAATGTCAAAGATTTTGAGAAGAGAATAGACAAGCGGAGTTGCGGGAAAGAATTGTAAGAAAGGCGTTGTTCGGGTGATCCAACGTTAATATATTCTTGTCAGTATTAGATATGAGTAAAGAAGATGCCTTAAAGGAGTTGTATTATGATCTTGAGCCTGGTTATGGTTCAATTAGAAACCTTTCTGAACAAGCGAAACAAAAAAGTCTTGTAACAACTTTGGAAGAAATTCAAGAATGGGTTGAAAAAAACTCAACAAATAAAGAAGGTATCATAAAGCTTCAAACAAATATTCACCGCTGTTTGCCAGAGTCTACTAGAGCTGTTTAATTCGTTGATATTATGAATATGATTAGCTTGATGAAAGACACTGACACTTTTAAAGAACAATATAGAGGATACGGCTCACATAGCGTCGTTGGTGAACAAAGATGGGATAGATGTTCATATAGTTTTCTTAGTACGTTTCAAAGTATTTCGACATCCCCAAGTTATCTATACCGGCCATGATGGACCCTTTAATTATAAGAGATTGCAAGATTATTTTAAGCGTGAGGGTATAACACGTATTATAGCCTTAACTCACGCGAATGTAGCAGAAAGAGCGATTAGAACAATTAAAAGGATGATTGGTGATAGAGCATTACAAACACAAGGGTGCTTGCGCGATCTTATCAAAGCTAGGCTTGGATAAGCAAAACAAAAACATGGTTCACTAAACAACTGGAATGATTCCAGATGAGGCATTTAAAGGCGACAGCTGTAGAAGTCAAGGCTAACACAATACTGATAGACAAATACTTAAGGAGATATCCCCATGTTGAATTGGCGATAAGGTTAAAGTCTTTGATAAAGGGAAAGGTAGTTATACTGGCAGAAGGGAAACACGACACCAATGGTTTGACAAATAACATGAGGTTGAAAGAATAAAGGGAGACCCGCGGCTTAGTATTTTTACTTCAGATGGTAGGGAAAAGCATTATAATAGGCACGAGGTTTTGTTGGTTGATTGAAATTACAAAAAAGATCTAAAGACAACAAGCCCTATACCATTAGTGAGTAACGAGCGAGAGATTGATAACAAGAAAGAAGAATAAGACTAACTGAAAAATATGAAGCTGAAGTTGAGGAGTTAAATGAAGACATAGGCGATATGAAAAAGAAGATACGTAAATAGGGTAACAAAATAGAAGCTAATCATGAAGATGATTCTGAAAAGTTATGAAGTATCTGAAAAAGCATCATCTTGTTATTTTGACTTGCCATTGAAAATATTTGGTAAACGCTCAAAGATGAAATGTATTGTGTATTGTAAAATTGTTTTTGAGATGTGTGTTAAAAAAGTTTAAGCATTGGGTCTTATGTTTATTGTCAAATTTCGGAGCATCTTAGACAACATCAAACTACAGTAAATATCATCTAAAGAATACAAAGCTTTATAATGTTAAAAAAAGAAAATGAACAAGCAGCCACTATGTCGCGTTGTTGAACGTTGATATTGTGTGCATAATATGTAATGGAACAGGACCGGCTAGAAAAGAGCATGTTAACTCACTTTTTAACAGTAAAAGCCATAGGCTTAGCGAAGAATTTGAAATATCGATTGATAAATGGGACAGTAAAAAAGATGAAAAACTAAATCTAGTTCGTGGAAACAAATAAAGTAAACAACAACAAAGAGTGAGAAATCAACATCTTTAAGTACGTATTGGGATTTGACAAAAGAAGATAGAAGCGCAACTAATCATAGACATATAACAAGCGGAGACAAGACAAGACCAGTAATGTAAACGAAATGGACTAAACAGACATGAAAGTAAGAATCACGTAAAATGCAAACTGTGTAATACGTGTTTACAAATCAAAACCAGCCTAGAGACAGAGACATAAAAAATACCAAAAGCAAAGATAACATTACAACGGTAACGAATACCGAGAAATGATACCAAATAGGAGGAAAGAATACATCGCATGAAACAGAGATCAAGTTTTACAACAGAAAAAAGAATTCAGGGAAAGAAACAAGTACAAAATCAACGAAGCGAGACAGTTCTACTACAATGGCAGCAGAGAAGCAGTGCTTGAAAAGCAACGACAAACATTAACGAAGAAAGGGAATTAAGATTATGATGGTTAAAAGATTCAAAGTCTTATGAGCAGTAGTCAGAATAGTACTACGGATTGTTGAAAATGGTGGATGGAAAATAATAGGAATGAATGAGGGCCGTTGGTAGGAGTGTTGGTACGAATTCTAAGGATTGAGTGTGACACATGACTGAGGGTGGATGAATTGATGGAAAACTGCTGAAACCGCTGGTAAAAATGCATTATTTTAACCTTACAAGCTCTTCTGAAAAGTGGTTAAGGTGGATAGCGAGGAATACCGAAAAAGGTATGTTAAAATTTTAACAAATTGTCTGAGCTCAGCAAAGTTGTTGTGTTAATCCTCAGTAGCCCCTGTTTGGTAATTCTTACGGGGTGGGGGTGCTGGTGGCGGTGGTTGCATGCCTGGCAATAGGAGCATACCGCATCATTGAAGCACATCAGGAGCATTTGTTTACAGTTTTTATTGGGACACCAATGACTTCTCGAATCTTGCTGGTTGGATTAGGCAAAACCGCACCAATGGTGGTATAGGAATATGGAAGCACCGTAATGTAACTGCCATTAGCCCTCATGACTAGAAGGGGTCCTTACCTAGTTCAGTGCCTCAACAGGTTTACCATGGTGAATACCTTAAGCTTTATCCCGTAAAGCTTCGGGTTGATGCGACTGCTTGGACAAGCTTCCATACGCAACGCTCGAAGTTGTCGTTGTTGCTGTGCCAGTGCATGATGGCCAGAACAGGAGTAATGTAGAAGCCTAAGATCAATGATAGTACCATTCCTTATCGTTCCTTATTGTCATGATAGTAGTATAGTATACCTCGCCACACCTTATTGAAGGTATTAGAGCCCTCCCCATATTAGTCATACCCGAATCTCTCAACTCCAAACCTGACGCCCCAAAACCCTGAAGCTTTAACCCTGAAGTCGCACTCTTGAACCCTAGGTGCGCCTTAGATGCTAGACCAACACCCTTGAATCCTACACCCGCAAGCTTAAACCTGAAGCCAAGGCTTATAACCCTTACAGCATAGCTTCTGATATTACTGAAGGAGTAGCACAGTTGAGTACGCCTTCCTCCAGCCTTCCTCTGCTTATTTAGGAGTTTCCGACTCCAAAATGAGTTAAATCCTAAGCCGAGGTCTCGAAATCACCGAAACCCTAACCCCAAACTCTAAACCCCAAGCCCTATACCCTGAACCTTAAAGCCCCAAGTCCTATACCTTGAACTTTAAAGCCCCAAGCCCTAAACCCTAAACCCTGAACCTTAAAGACCTCAATCCGACTGAGGCGACACCGGCGACGATGAGCATCGAAGGGGCAACCCGAGATGGTGGGCCTCCTGTCTCAGACTTTAAATGAAAGGGTTCCCCTGGTGGGGCCCACTAGGGGGGTTTAGGGTTTAGGGGTTCAGGGATTTAGGGTTTAGGTTTCGGGTTTCGGGTTTAGGGTTTAGGGTTCCTGTTGTGTTAGTGGTTTCTTCCAGGGGGTTTCGGATTCAGGGTGCAAGCTTCGGGTTCACCTTGAACTACTACAACCCTATGTTTTCCTTAGGGTCGCTATGAATTCTGTTAGGATGTTAGGGTTAATAGTAAGAACCTACCATACAGCTGGTCTCTGGTAGGGGAAGATAAGGGTTCCTTTCAAGGCATGCCTTCAGGGATCTACAAGGGATCAAGCCGGGATCTACACTGTCTACACTTGGGGGTTCAGGGTTTGGGGTTTAGGGTTTAAGAGTTTATGGTTTAGGATTTAAGGGTTCTAGTTAGAAGGACTCTTAAACTTTGAAAGCCACATCCGCACGGGACACTTCCAGGATTTCTCAAGTCAAAGGCTCCCTTCGACGAAAGGGTTCGTTGCTCCTTTAGGGGACCTTTTTGGGCTTCTTTCGAGGGTCCTGTCAGGCGTCCTTTCAGATTAGGAGCTTCGCTTTGTTTTTGGGCATAGTGCTGTTCTAAGCCCCTCAATCGACCAATGCCTGAATCGCGTTCACCACCGCATGCTGCACTGTAAGGCACTCATTCTGGATCAGGGGTTGCTCTAGTCAAGACCATACTTCGCCTACAATCTGCTGACCAGTTCCCGTCAGCCTTCAAAAATGGGCCTCTGCAGCATCCTGGAACCCGGTATACACTACTAGTTACTAGGGCTTATGGTTGAGGGTTCAGCCCAAAAGCCAGCACGCGCAGCAAAACCGCAAGCCCTCCAACTCGCATGGTTCAAGGTTCATGGGTAGTAATTAACAAGTAGGTTTCTGGAATGTCTTCACTAGGCTTATGCGATCTTTTAAATCTGTAGAGCATATGGACAGGCTCTTTCGATCGGTACTGCAGGCATTGATGAACCACAGTACCCGCGGCCCTAAAATTTGATTCGCCCTGCAGGCACTGCCGGTCCCTTATTTTCTTGTTTCAGGGATTCAACCTATGGTCATTTTTACTGACAGCCTGAAAAGGTACTAATAAGCCAAGTCTGTGGTGCTGCCCATGAGCATTTAGACCTCAAACCCAAAGCCGCTATAAACCCTAAACCCTAACCCCAACACCCCCGTCCTGGCACCCTCAAACCCTCCCACAGACTTGAAGCTCTCTTAGTGCAGGAACATGGCAAAACAAGCCCACCCACTAGGATGCAAGACTCTTCGCGTAAGTAAGGGACTGTGGAGTCTGTGGCCCATGTAGAGCCCTTCCCAGAGGGCCCAATACCCCTTAATTAAGGACTATACCTTAAATCATAATATTGAGGCCCCTACATTCCTTAATTAATGGGTATTGGGCTCTCTGGGTTCTAGCCCTGCTAGAGCACTTGTACAAGCTTCGGCCAGAACAGAACCTGTAGGAAGCCTGTATGCAAGCGTCCGAACTGGACCCTAAACCCGAGACCCTAAACCCTAAACCCTAAACCATAAACCCTAGGCCCTAAACCCTAAACCCCCAACCCCTAAACCCTAAACCCCTAAACCCTAAACCCTAAACCCACAACCCACAAAGCGCTACAGCCGAACTGGGACCGAGCACTGCCAAGGTCTGCGCGGAGGGGTTCGAGTCGGTGTGCGACGGAGGCCACTCATATGAGGTTTAGGGTTTTTAGGGTTAAGGGTTTAGGGTTTTGAGGGTTTAAGGGTTTAGGGTTTAGGGTTTATGTGAGGTAGGCTTTTAAGGGTTGGATCTTTTATCAGGGGTTCAATAGAAGATTTCAGAACGGGTTTACATTTACAGGGGATCTCGGGATGTTCATTTCCTTCAGGTTTAGGGGGGATAGGCCAGGTGAAGACCACGCCCACCACTACAGCCTTGCAGAACATCTAAGACCCGGCATGTCGCAATCGTTCGCGGGTTTTTCAGCATAAGCTCTATCCTAAAATGCCACGCTATTACCCAGAGACTCCAAAACCCGTGAATTAAGGAATTATAATCCCTAATAAGATTTAAGGTATATTCCTTAATTACGGGGTTTTGGAGTCTCTGGGTAAAGCATCTTTGCAGGAAGCAGCACGCAAACTGGAACCCAAACCCTAAACCCTAAACCCTAAACTCAAATCAACCCTGGTCGAACCCTAGCGCCCGATTGGACCGGATGCTCGGTAGACTTCTGATGGCCCTGGCAATGCCCCCAGTAACCCCTTAATAATAAGGGGGTTTAGGGTTTAGGGTTTAGGGCTTAGGGTTCAGGGTTTAGGGTTTAGGGCACAAACAAACAAACAGAGACAGTGTTTCAGTTTTTCGAGTGCATGTTGAGAGCCCAGAATCGCAGGGCTTTCCATGGGATTCGCCAGAATTGTATATAAGTTGTATACAAGATGGATAGAAGGGCTATAAATAGATACAAGGATGCCATGTCAGGTCCGTAAATTGGCTTCAATATAGCGGTTCTAGAAGCGGGTTCTTCATAAAGGTTTTAGGTGGTTCTGATTGGAGCTGTGCGTGCGAAGCTGGGAGTAAGTGTTTCAAATCTTTTCTGCTGACTCCCCAAAGGACCCTAAACCCTAAACCTGAAATCGTAGATCCTGAACTCTACGCTCTTCAATTTGTTCAGACACCCCTCATGCCCGCTTTACAGGCGGCTCGGAATCGCCACACCATCGCCACCGGGGCAGTCGGGGCCCCGGTCAGAATCAGTAGGTTTTTATAGGGTTTGAGAGTGGAATCAGACGGTTGGTGATTGTTTGTTTTTTTTGGCGGCTACCCCTGAATTCAGGAAAATACCCCTTTAAGTAGACAGGGCTTCTGTGAGAAACTGCACTGTACTTCTGAATTGAATCATGTTGCAGTCTTTCCTTTGTAGGGTTTGCGGAGTTTGTTTGTTTGGGGGTTCAAGCTCAAGGGGCACAGGCTTTGTGTAGGTTTCGGTTCGGAGTTTGTAAGGGCCCTTTGGTTTAGCGAGTTGTTCAAGAATTGATATCCTTCCGTATCATTTTTCTGGGTCTGAAACCTCCACAAACCTCCTCACAACCCCAAGCCCTAAACCGTAATCCCAAGACCCCATATACCCAAGCCGTTCTGTTTACACTTCCGACCCCAAGCCGTAAACCCGAAACTCTACGCCATCAGACCTAAACGACAACCACTAAACCCCGAAACCCCAAAGCCGAGACCATAAGCCGCAAAATGGGTTGTGGAGTGGTTTAAGGTTTAGGGTTTAGGGCTTAATTTCAAGTCCCCATAATAAGGAAACCTTATGTCATTTGTTCCCCACAAAAACCGTAACTTCAACTAAGTTCCAAAAAACGAGAGCCCAGTAAAGCATGAGTTCCCAAACCCAGGGCTCGAGTGCTACCATAAGCCCAAAAACATTGCCATGGCATCGAACACCTATTCACCTATTCTAACCATTAAGGCCCCTGTTTGCAACCCAGTGGACAAGGTGCCTTAAACGTAATTTACCTCCAAACACACCCCTGAACAGCAAGCCCGCTGCGCCAGGATCACCATACTTTGGCTCGTGAGGCGTGGTCTCCTCCGGCTGGAGCGCGTGCGCTCAGGCGTGGAGCCCGTCCGGATGTTGCTCCATGCAAGGTGCCAATGCCGATGCTTGGCCTGGGCGCCGTATCGAGCGTGCCGCCCGCACCACTGGCGCGTACACCGAGCTCGCGCTCAGCAAGGCGTTGTGGCACCTCGAGGGGCTCCGACGCGAGTCCAGAGCGGCGCTCCGAGCTGGGCATTCGCCCTACGACCTCGCTGCTCGCGATCGCCGAGGCGAGCCTGCCGACTCTGGTCTCATCCGGGTTCGGCCCATTGCGGTCGCCGAGCGCGACAACTCGCTGCTCGGGGCTGCGAAGCAAGGCATCAGCGGGCCGTGCTGGGCCCTTGGCGACGCTGCCCTCTGCACGCCTGGTATATGTTCGTCGCCTCCGCTCGCGACGTCGTCGTGGGCGCGGATTGGAGGCATTTATTCGGGGTGTCGTATTTGGAGCCCGTACTTCCTGAGGATCGCTCACCCTGAACCCTAGGCCGTAAATCTGCGTAGAAATCCTGACAGAACCCTTACGGCTGTCTCCCGCCGGCGAGGTACCCTTGACATGGCTTTCCTGGAAGTGGGCGGAGCCCGGCGTCCCGGGAGTCTGTTTCTGACGAGGGGGTTTGGAGGAAGTTGCTTTACAAACCTAAGCCCTAAACCCTTAAAGCCCTAAAGCCCTAAACCCTAAACCCCTAAACCCCTAAACCCTGATCCCAAACCCCAAAACCCCTAAACCCCAAGCCCCTAAACCCTAAAACCCTAAACCCCAAACCCCTAAACACCTAAACCCCTAAACCCCTAAACCCCCAAACCCCGAAACCCTAAGCCCCTAATGATATGGGTTTGGGGTTTTTAGGGCTCGGGAGGCACGGCCCGTCCTAGAGGTTCCCTGTGGCTTGGGTTGCGGCTTGCCCTAAGACTGCACGGTTTAGGGTTTAGGGTTTAGGAGGGTTTAGGAGGGTTTAGGAGGGTTGAGGGTTTAGGGTTTAGGGTTTAGGAGGGCTTAGGAGGGTTAGGAGGGTTTAGGGTTTAGGGCTGTTAGGGCTGCAAGTATACAAATAATACCCACTTTGGGGTCTAAAGCCAGCAAATAGTACCTACTTTGGGCTATTTGGAGTCCTAGGGTTAGGATTCTGGGGGGCAGATTTTTGTTGCCTTCAACCCTAAACCCTAAAGCCCTAAAGCCCTAAACCCCGAGTCCTAAAGAAGCCCTTACAGGAACCCTTAAATAAGCCTTTAAAGGAACCCATCGTCAAAATAGGAATCCCTACATCACAGCCAATCAAGCGCAAAATAAATGAATCCTAAACCCTAAACATCCAACCTTCAACCCTGAACCCCCAACCCTGAAACCCTAAACCCTTAAGGCCACCGCTCCCCCCCCCAAAAAAGGAGCCCTGCACCCAAAACCCGGCCATCCCAACAAGCCCGAAAGCCCGAGACCCTCAACCTAAGCCCACCAAGCAAGGGATGGTATCCCTAAGCCTAAGAGCCCCAGACCTCCAAAACCGAGAAAGCGTAGCACCTTTTGCCCAACAACCCTAAACCCTAAACTCTAAACCCCAAACCTTAACTCCCTAAACCCTAAACCTTAAATCCCTACGCCACCGAGAATTGGAACCCGAAACCCTGCACCCTCACGGGCGCCCCCCTCCCCCCTCCCAAAAGGGAATCATCTTAAGCCTTTAAAGGTTGAGCCTGGAACACAAGGAACCACCGGAAGACCTAAAGCCAGGGCACCTTTGCAGACACCCCTAAACCCTAAACTCTAAACCCCTAACCCCCTAAACCTTAAACCTTTAAGGGAACCCTTTAAGAACTCTTATAGCAGCCCTTAGAGGCAGCCCTTAAAGGCAGCCTGGAAAAGGAACCCTTAAAGGCTCTAGGAGCCCTCCTTTGAGGCTTCCTTTAAGGGCTCCTCTAAGAAGCCCTTAAGGGAGCCCTTAAGGACTCCTTTAAGGGATCCTATGGAGGTTCCTTCAAAGGAGCCCTTAAAGGCTATCGGAACCCAAACCCAAAAAACCCTAAGCCCCAAACCCTAAACCCCAAAAGCCCTAAACCCTAACCCTAAAAGCCCTAAACGCCCTAAACCCCAAACCCTAAGCCTAAAAACCCTAAGCCCTAAACCTAAAAACCCCAAAACCCTTAACCCCAAACCTAAAAGTCCTAAACGCCCTAAACCCCAAACCCAAAGCCCTAAAAAGCCTTATAAAGCCCCTAAAAGCCCCTAAAAAGCACCTAAAAAGCCCTAAAAAGCCCTAAAAAGCCTTAAAAAGCCCTAAAAAGCACCAAAAAACCCTAAAAAGCCTTAAAAAGCCCTAAAAAGCCCTAAAAAGCCCTAAAAAGCCCTAAGCCTAGGCGGCCCCGGAGTGGTCCGCCGCGGAGCTGCCCCGGGAGCTGACGGAGAAGGTGATGGGAGCTGGGAGCTTTTGGGGATGTAGGTAGGGTTTAGGGCTTTGGGTTTAGGGTTTAGGGTTTAGGGTTTGTAGGTTTAGGGCTTTGGGTTTAGGGTGTTTAGGGTTTAGGACTTAGGATTTGGGGATGTAGGGCTTTTAGGGCTTAGGGTTTTTAGGGATGTAGGTAGAGTTTAGGGTTTTTCGGGTTTTTGGGTTTAGGGTTTAGAGATTTGGGGTTTAGAGA